CTAGGAAGTTCTGATCCAAGTTTTGAGAACCAAAACCACAAGCATGAAAATGAAACTCCTCTGAGTTTGGAATCCACAGCTGAATGTTGCAGCTTTCCTCACTTGAATTACAGTTCCTGTAGTTTCTATTTCATCTTTTTCACAGAACACAATCCCAGAATGGTTTGTGTTGGAAGGAACCATGGAGATCATCTCATTGCACCCCCTGTCATGGGCAGGGACATCTTCCTCTACTCCACATTGCTCCAAGCCCTGTCCAGCCTGGCCTTGGACACTTCCAGGGATGAAGCAGCCACGGCTTTTCTCAGCAAATTTGGTCCCATAAAGCACAAGTGCCCTGAAGACCTGGAAATTCTTTCTCAAGTACAGCACAAGCAAGAATCACACAAGGAGCCTCTGGCTGCCCTCTGCCCATCTAACAAGTACTTGCAGCACCCTGGAAAGAGGGATCTGCCTCCATCCCCAGCCACTGCCTGCTCGTGCCAAGCCAGAGAACGAGGCAATAATTGCTGTAGTCCTTCTGTAGTGTCCGTGGGGAGCAGAAATCAGACAGGAATATCAAACCAGATCAAAGCTCGTGCAGTTCTGGCACCCAGGCTCCTGCAGCAGCCTCCAGGAGAGCTCGCTGGAAGGGCACACACTTGGAACAGCCACGGGCACAGCCAGCATCCAGCCCTGCAGCACAGGGACCCTCTACAGCTCTTCCAGCCTCTAAAGCAGCACCTGGCCCCACCCAGCACAGGCCACTGGATAAAACCGGGCAGCTTTTGACACCCAGATTTTGATTCTCACACACAAACAGCACCAAAAAAAGGCTCCAGGCCACCCAAGCACCTTCACTTTCTGTTGCTATCTTAGCAGAAGAAACTAATTTGGGACATACACTATGCAGATCTTTAGGAACCAGGATTTACAGCACAGTCTCATTGTGGCAGAGATGTTACATTTACATAACCTTCTTGCAGTACATGATTTTCTGCCTCTAAACCCTTTGGTCTCCATAAGCTGCTTTGCTGAGGCCGCCTTCCCTCACACTCACCCACGGGCGAGCCAGCAGCTCGTCTACCAGCTACTACAGAGCCACTACCCTCATCCCACCTCCCACGGGAGCCTGAGATTCCTCCTGGCTTTAAGACAATCCTACAACTACAACGATCTTGTATTTATGGGGTAATAATGTCTCAAAGACTCCCAGTACACTTTGCAAGTTGACACATGAGATATTCCAAAGGAGTCTGCTGTGCACTGGGGAACCACCACAGCCAACAAACCAGGCAGGATCGCAGGGTCATGGAAGCTGGAAAAGACCTTCCAGGTATTGAGTTGAACTGATAGCACTGTGCCCACCCAACCATGTCAGGCAGAGCCACATCTGCTCAGTCTCTGAACATCTGCAGGGATGGGAACCCCACTGCTTCCCCAGGCAGCCCATTTCAGTGTCTGATTACCCTTTCAAGTGAAGTTATTTTTCCTAATCTTTAAGCTGAGCCTCCCCTGCCCAGCTTGAGGCCATTCCCTCTCCTCCTGTCCCTGTCCCTGGAGCAGAGCCCATCCCCACCTGGCTGTCCCCTCCTGGCAGGAGCTGTGCAGAGCCACAGGGTCCCCCCTGAGCTCCTTTTCTCCAGGCTGAGCCCCTTCCCAGCTGCTCCTGACCCTCCCCAGCTCCATTCCCATCTCTGCCCCTCAATGTTTTTCTTGCACTGAGGGTCCCAGAGCTGTTCCCAAGACTGGAGGTGCCCCAGCAGTGCCCAGGACAGGCACTGGCACTGCCCTGGTGCTGATGCCACATCAGTGCTGGGACAGCTCAGGTGGCACTGGTCTCTTGCCTGCCTGGGCACAAACGAGCCCAGGTGGCCAAAAGCAGCTACAGCTGCCCCAAGAGCTCATCAGAACAAGCAGCACCTGCTCTTGTGATGGTTCTAATTCAAGGGCAGGTACCAGACAAGGGCTCAGGAGATTTGGGATCTGCTTTAATCCCGCTTGACAGCACTGAACAAGAAGTTCCACCTCAATGCTGTCCATTTCAGCATTTACCAGGAGAGACCAGCTCATCTGACAAGAAGCAGCCAAAGGGAGCTTCTGCTTCCAGAACAGACTTCTGGACCACCCCAATTTGACCAGCTCCTGGGGCTGTTCCCTTTTCTCTGGCACACACACAGTACTGGAGGAGCTGGATGCCCAAAATTCACCCCAAACCTGCCACCCCTGCAGGTGCCCTGTTCTGGTGCTTGCCACGCTGTCAGGGACATTCAGTGCTGTCCTCAGCAGAGGAGTCACTACAAATAGAGCAGGACCTCACACCACACAGCAGCACAGCATGGTTTCAACTCTCCCTTTAGGCTGCAACATCCTCACTTGTGAGCTGCCAGGACTTGAAATTATTTCTTCACTTTAACTCAATTTGTGCATTTTCTAGACTACACTACACCAAAATTGTTGAGGGAACATGAGAGGATTGGTGCTGCTGTGGATAACATCATGTTACAAAACTGAGGCTGGAAAAGACTCCCAGGATCATCGAGTCCAAGCACTGCCCAATCCTCCCCTTGTCCCCAAGTGCTGCTTGGATACCTCCAGGGATGGGGATTCCACAGCCTCCCTGGGCAGCCCCTGCCAATGCCTGACAGCCCTTTCAGTGAGAATTCCTCCCAAAATTACACTGCTCATGTACAACCAGAGATCACAAGTGTCCCTTACAGCCCCTCCACTCTGTTCATCAGTCTTCATCAGTCCCAGGACAGTTCCATTCATCCAAACCTGCAGCTCCACCAACCACCATCAAAGAAATAAATCAAATGCTCCCCCTCCTGTGCTCTTCACTAAGGCCTCCTCCACCCTCCAACGATGGTGTTCAGGATTAGCACATCTCATAAAAACCATTTCCCCGAGCTAAGCTCCACCCCATGATTGCAAGGGCAAAGCAAACTTACTCCCGTTTGTTTACTTCCTAATTTATGAAACCTGGTAAGAGGAAACTATTTTCAAGGCTTAATCAACACTGCAAAACAAGCAGATGGTGGGAAAAAACCCTCATCTAAGCAAACATTTTAATCTTGGGGAAATAAGGTATTTTAACAAGAAAAACCCCTGTTATTGACAAATAAGAGGCGGCTTAAAGAAAACATTAGAAATAATCAGCTCAGCATCGGCTTGTTTTGAAACACACTAGAACCGTGGTTTTGTTTTCACAGTGACTCCTTGTTTTGGTTTAGGCACACTGAGCACTACAGCTTCACACCAGCTCAAGCTGCTGAGTCCCACGGTGGTCAAGTCCCACATTTTTTTCACCAAGTGTCCTGTGACCCCTAAACTTCTGGCCTGATGGATGCCAGCAGCGTTCTCCACCCACTGAACAGCCAAAGCTCTGCTCCAGCCACGACACCCTGCAATGCTGGAACTGCTTCCACCAGCACAACCACCAGGCATTCAGACCATGGGATACTTGCTGCGTGAGGAAATGGGTGTAAATCAAGGTACAGAAAAGAACCAAAGAGAAATCCAGCACCTGGTAGCCCATGAAGCGGCTCCAGAGGAAGCACTGAGGGGAAGGAAGGGATATTGGCCTCACATGGCATCCCGCACTGCCACAGCTGAGCCCTGCAAGGAAAACAGCTCCACCATGGGCCTCGGAGTCAGCCAACCCTCCTGCTCAACACGGCTGCAAGTCCTGGGACAGCAGGCTCAAAACAGCCCCAAAGGCAAATAACTAAATGCACTTCAAGAAATAAAACACATGCACAGGTACCGACCCTCACTAATAAACAAAACCAGCAGCTCCCACACACGCTGCTCCCTACACGACTTGCAGTCACTAAATCTTCATCAGGCAAAGATCTGGATTGTATTAGCCACGTTCTCCCTTCCTGATTTGTGAGCAGCAGGACCGCAGCCCAATCCATCTGCGGCGGAGCAGGCACAGAACCGTGGCACGGCGATAAATTCAACTCCAGCCTTTCACCTGTTGGAGTCTTTTCAGACAAACTCCGGCGGCCGGAGCGAACCCACCTGGGGCAGGGAGGGGAAGGGCTGAGGCAGCCGCAGCTGGAGCATTTCCCTGCGGGAAAAGCGAGAGGCACAGCGAGCCCTGCCCCGCCGGAGGAGCCCCGAGCATCCCGCAGCACCGCACCAAGCCGGGAAGCCGCTCGGCGTTGTGGCAAATCCCACGTACACGCACGGGGAATGCACATGTGCCCCCACCCCTTCCCCCGCCGAGGTCCAGTTATTGTAGTCCAGGAAACAGCCAAATATTTGGCCTGTCAGGCCAGTCACCGGGACCCTCCGAAACATCCACCCACAGCCGCCCGCTTTTTGACCATTTAAGAGGAAGATCGCCCATAGCCAAGTCCCCATCGGCGCTCACGAGTGTTTACATAACACCAAACATCCCTCGCAGCCGAGCCCCGAGCACGGGGGCAAAACCACGGGCAAAGTTGGAGCGGGCACGCAGCTGCAGCGCCGAGCCCGCGGCGGGCCGGGGGACGCGACCCCGCTCCGGCAGCGCTGCGGGACGGCGGAGGGGTCTCTGCCCGGTCCTGCCAGGGCTGCCTGCCCGGGCATCCCCGCCGAGCACGGGCATGCATCCCTGCACGGCAGCGGGCTGCGTGCCCGGGTACCCCCGCCTAGCAACGGGCTGCATCCCCGGGTATCCCCGCCCAGCACCGAGCCGCATCCCTCGGGCTGCGGGACGGGGCTGCCCCGACGGCCGCTCACCGCCTCCCTCCCTGCCCAGCCGTGCCCGCTCTCTCCCGGCCGTACCTGGCTCCGGAGGCGGCGGGGCGGGCTATGGACGGCTCGGCAGCTCCATTTCGGCGGCGGTCCCGTTCCCGGAGGCTGCGCCCGCCGCCGCCTTAGCTGCGCGTCCACATGGTCACTGCGCTCCGCGCCCGCCGCCGCGCCTTAAATAGCCCGGGAGGCACGCCGGGTAACCGAGTCCCGCCGCCGCCGCGCCGCCGCGGGGGCGCGTCCCGCGGGACTACAGCTCCCAGCGTGCCCCGCGCCGCGCTGCGGGCGGGGGCAGCGGACAGCGGAGACCCCCGGTCCGTGCGGTCAGTGATGTAGATAAATCCCTGGGTCCGTGTGGTCAGTGACAGGGATGGACCCCCGGGTCCGTGCGGTCAGTGATGTAGATAGATCTCCGGGTCCGTGCGGTCAGGGACGGGGATGGACCCCCGGGTCCGTGCGCTCAGTCAGAGGGATGGACCTTCGGGTCCGTGCGGTCAGTGATGTAGATAGATCCCCGGGTCCGTGTGGTCAGGGACGGGGATGGATCCCCGGGTCCGTGCGGTCAGGGACAGGGACGGACCCCCGGGTCCGTGCGGTCAGTGATGTAGATAGATCCCCGGGTCCGTGCGGTCAGTGATGGGGGCGAACCCCCCCCGGTTGGGGACGCGGATGTGTTTTGGTCCAGGGGACTCCGCACAGAGCCCTGGGCAGAGGGCGAGCGTACGGGAGTACCGGGCACAGAGGCTGCGAGAGTAACCACTGGGTAAATACTGAGTAAACCAGGAGTCAGCGCTGTCTGGGAACACAGAATAGCGGGGAGGTGAGGGTTGAGGTGAGCACCTGCCTGCACAGGTGCTGTCACCTCTGCCGTGACTCAGGTGTGAGCCCTCGGCTGAGCAGAGTCACGGCTGCTCTGCAGGAACGGCTCCAAACTCTGGAAACAGCGAGTGCCACTGGAGTTCCTCTTCACTAAAATTACAGCATGGGGGTGTCACAGCACGGGAGACATCACAACTTCAGCCAGAATGACCAGCAGCGAATAAAAAGTAGTGATTTTTCAGTTATTTATTGTATTATATAATTATTTGTCCTGAAATATTAGCCAAGGTTATTCCTCACAGTTCCACCCTATTTTTCCTCCCCTCCGTGGCTGGCTGGCAGCAGCCAGAGCCATGCAGGGGTAGGTGCAGTGTTTGCCTGCAGAACAACTGCATCACTTTAACTGGGATTTAGGTGAAGGAAGCAGTTCCCCACTCACTCTCACCCACACCCACCTGCTGCCGTGGGTAACAGGTAGGAATGGTGCCTGCTCCTCGCTTGTCTCCCTCTCTACAGCAGCAGGATAACACTGGTGAATGGGAACAAGTCCAGATTAGCCAGTGTGGAATCAACATAACTTCCCCTGCACTGGCTCTCCACTAAAAATACCTCCAGAGGAGCTGTAGCTGTGGCTCTGGAGCAAGGATATGCAGCAGCTGAAGCCCGTGACTCAGGAACTGAAGTGAAGGTCAGAGAACAGAATTTTATGGGTTTCCTCCATGGCTGCAATACTACAAGCCATTACTCATCAGGAATTTGGCAGAGGAGCGGTGCCGAATATCATTAGATAATCCTAATGAATTCTTGTGTAATCGAATCTAATCTCTGGATGGCTTCAGCAGGAGGAGGCTGTGAGTGGCTGCAGCGGCTCCGAGGCAGTGACAGAAGGGCTGTCACCAGAGCCAGGGGCAGAGCTTTGCCTGCTGAGCACCTTGAGCAGCTCTGCACACAGTGGGCCTTAAAATAGCTCCAGCACTGAGGGATAAACCCGAGCAGCAGCCCTGGGGGAGAACACGGGAATGGGCTGCCCAGGGAGGGAATGGAGGCTGCCCCTCAGAGACATTCCTCTCCCAAATGCCAAATACCAAAGGGCACGTTTTTGCTTGTGGACTACGTTTGATTCTGGGTCTTGGTCAGTTCTTCAAAGGCTGAGGAGCTCACAGCATCCCAGAACGGTCCGAGTTGCTCCAAGCCCCATCCAACCTGGTCTTGGACACTTCCAGGGATGAGGCAGCCACAGCTGCTCTCACTGGGCACCATGTGCCAGAGTCTCCCCACCTTCACAGGGAGCAATTTCCTCCTAATATCCAACCTAAACCTATTCTCTGTCAGCTGGAATGCATTCCCCCTTGTCCTGTCATTACGTGCTCCAATTTTTGGGCCTTCAGCCAAAAATAGTGACCAAGCTCTGTAAAGAGCTCACTGGATTTGAAGGGGTGCTGGCAAAAACAAGATAATCATGGAAGTTTCCAATGCAGAAGAACATGTCCATTTGTCTTTAGGAACTTGCTATGGGATGCTGCTGCAGGCACAGAGAGTTCAAGGGGTTCCTATAATCTCACAGCATTGAAAAGAGGTAAAATTGTAGGGCAGGGTTGGAGTGGGAAAAGTCACCTTGGGAAGGATTCCCTTAAAGGAATTTTCCCTGATAATGGGACCTACAGGAAGCAGCTCTGAGATGGGAACAGAGTCCTGTTCACTCAGCAGCACATGAGGGCTGGGCTTGGAGCCCACACACCCCCAGAGGCTCAGGGGAATGAACTCAAGAATTCAGAGAGGAAATAGTGAAAAAACACTCCTTGGTAGGTATCACCTCAGCCCTGGGAGCTGTACTATGAGTGTTTGGCCGATTTCACATGTGGTTTCAGTCACAGGAAACAACTTGTGAGGGATTTTTATTTCTTGCTATCGGAGTACTTTGTTCTTTTTCTCCTTTTCAAACCTTATTCTGCTCCACTCCTACTTTATTTTTAGCAATTATGGAAATTCAGCACTGATGAAAGATGTTAAAATGAAGTTTGAAGTCTTTTTATTTCTATTTTGATTTCTTTCTATTTTTATTCCTATTTCTTGCTTTTTATTTCTATTGCCTTGTTTTATGTTGACTAATTTACAGCTAACCCTCCCTGGGCTGTTTTGGGAACATTGCACCTCCAGCCTGTGGGGTGGCTTTGCACGGGTTTTGTCTCTGCTGTTTTGGTTTTGTCTCTTTTGTCAGCTGCAGGTCAACAGCCCTGGAAGGAAAATGAGAGCAGAAGATATTCCAGGACTCTGAGGATCAGTCTGTTTCCTCTTGCTCGTGGCTGGTCTTCACAATGGGAAAAATGATCCCAGAAGTTCCCCATCCTTAGGGAGATCCATGCAGCACTCAGGGATGAAAAACACTCCTGACAAATGCTGGAACACCTCAGCCTCTCAGTGAAAATCTCTCATTCCCATCACATTTTAAAAACAACAAGATCTGAAGCGTGGGGACTCGGTGTGAGGAGAGAGAAAAACTAAAGCTGAGCACAAAATGATCTACAGCAGCAAAAGTTCTCCAAGTCTTCAGGATCCTGGGCTGGAAGTTGGATTTTCTGTAATTATTTCATCTGTTCTCTGGGGAGAGTAAGGAATATGAACCCTCCTGGTGGAACCACACAAATGCACACCAGAATTCCAGGGAAACGAGCCATGAGAACGAGTGGGCAGGATACACTAGAGAGCTGTCCCAGCTCGTTGGAAATCAGCTGATTTTCCTGAATTCCAGCACCACACAGCCAGAATCCCAGGGCTTTATGAAGGGGAGCTTATCCTGGCTGAGTGTTTTCAGTTCTAGAAGCCTGTCGAATTTGGATGCCTACTTTTTGCTCTCGCTTCAGTGAGTTGTGTTGGGAAATATTTAGCAGCAGAAAATAATTTGGATTTAACTCTCATTTTCATGGCTATTCATTCCTTAACAAAGGGCAAAGATCAATGCAAAATGAATATTTCCATTTTCTGACCCCAAAGCAGCAAGGGTTGGTTGTATAATTAAGCTTGCAGTCATTTGTTTTCCTGCACACCAACGCTTTTCTGGAGCACAGCACAAGGCAAAAGGAGCTAATGATGGACAATTGGAATTGGAATTCAATTGGAATTGGAATTCCCTGTGAGGCCTCCCAGCGCTGCCATTTTACACACAGCAAAACTTCACAGAGCAAACACATTCATGTGCAGCTCCTTCCAGTGTTCACACACACTCCCTTCATTCATGCTTCTCTTTGCTGCCAGTGTAAGCCAAAATTATATTGAGTATTTTGAATTAATATCCCACAGGATGAGTAAAGATCTGTTTTAGTGCAAGGGATTGTGGCAGGCACATTCTCCTCTCTCTCAGGATTTTTTCCTAGAGGAGCACAGAGGGAAGAAAGAGAAAACAATTTGTATTTCTGCTCCTTGTTTTCCCATGTGCAATGTGTTTGGAGAATTGTTTCCCTGGGGTGACGCTTGGTTGGATTCTGGTGAGGATTGTTTGAGGTGATGGCCAATCCAACCCACCTGTAGCTGGGCTCTCAAAAGAAGGGCAATGAGTCGTGAGTTAGAACAAGTAGGTTTGTAGTTTTAGTATCTCCTTTAATGTATATGAATGTATTATAGTATAGTTATAATAAAGAAATCATTCAGCCTTCTGGAGTCAGACATCAGCATTTCTTCACACTGGCTTCCCCTGATTTACAATAGGGGATGATGTTCTGTGGACAGCTCAGAACAGAAGCTCCCACAAGAAAGCAAAGATTTTACAGAATCTCCAACAACTACAGCGAACTGCGGGAAAAATGAGGGAGAACACAGGAATTGTGAGTTCCCTGACGGAGAGCAGGAATCCCAAAGCAGCGTTCCAGGAAAGGGCTGGGAACCCCTCGTGTGACACTTGTGTGGCCATTTGAGGCGTTTATGGCCGGGTGAGATCCCGGTGGGCAGCCGAGGTGTTTATTTGAGGTGAATCGAGGAGATCCCTCTCGCTGTTCTCTGCACCGGGGAGGCCTCAGCAGAGCCTTCAGAATGTGCACAGGATCTGCAGGTACCGTGTGGGTGGGGACAGGAGGGGATAGTGGGGTCATGAGGGACAGAAGGGACAATGGGGTCATGAGGGGACAAGGAGGGATGGGAGGGACAGAGTGGGACAGGGAGGGATGGGAGGGGACAGTGGGGGTCATGAAGGACAGAAGGGACAATGGGGTCGGGGGAACAGTGGGGGATATGAGGGGACAGAGAGGGACAGAGGGGACACTGGAGTCATGAGGGGACACGAGGAGACAGTGGGGTCATGAGGGGACAGTGGGGTCATGAGGAGACAGTGGGGTCATGAGGGGACACGAGGGGACAGTGGGGTCATGAGGGGACAGTGGGATCATGAAGGGACACGAGGGGACAGTGGGGTCATGAGGGGACAGTGGGGTCATGAAGGGACACGAGGGGACAGTGGGGTCATGAGGGGACAGTGGGGCCATGAAGGGACACGAGGGGACAGTGGGGTCATGAGGGGACAGTGGGGCCATGAAGGGACACGAGGGGACAGTGGGGTCATGAGGGGACAGTGGGGTCATGAAGGGACACGAAGGGACATGGGGTCATGAGGGGACAGCCCCACTCCCGCCCCCTCAGAACGCGGCGCGGCCCCTTTAAGACGCCCCCGATCACGTGACCGCGCGCGGCACGTGCCGCCGCCGCCAAGATGGCGGCGCCCAGCGGGCTGTGTCCCTGCCTGCTCCCGCTGCTGCTGCTGGCGGTGCCGCTGGGAGCGGCGGCCACCCCCGGCACCCCCGGCTGCGGCTGCAGCGCCAGCCGGGCCGCCGGCGACGGGCGGGAGGCGGCGGCGCGGCGCTACTCGGCGGCGGCGGGCAGCGGGCGGAGCGCCGGGCGCGGGCCGGTGAGCGCTGGGCCGGGCCCCGACCCACCTGAGCCCCGAGCACCTGAGGGGCCTCGGGCCGGGCCGTGGGGCGGCCCCGGTGGAGCACGGCCTCCTCCGGGATAACGGAACAGCCAGGGAACAGCTGCGGGGAGATTTAAATTAAATTATAGGCGGGTGGGCTGCGCCACTGAGGAGCTGGGCTTTGGCGTGGGCTCTGTTTCTGGCCCCATCTCGCTCTTGCCTCGCGGAGAGAACAGGAAAACATGAGGGATTTCCTCTCCTTCTGCCTCTCTTGTGATGCTGGGGAGCTGCGTCAGTTTGGGAAACCCTGTGTGCAACAGGCAGTGTGGGAACTCGCTTCAAAATTGGAGAATATTTAAAGAGTATGACTTGAATAATCCCCGTTGTGCTGGGGATCCGTGTCGCTGGTGGGTATTTTGTGTGACAAAGCTGAGCAGTTTACCGTGGGTGTGGAGGAGGAAAAAATCCTCTGACCCTTCATGCAGCTGGCAGCTCCAGCAGTAGGTAATGAAAGCTAATTACTGCTAGGTTTAAGTTCAACATAACTTGATGATGCTCAGCTAGAAAACATCTTTACCAGCAGAGAAGTGAGAGGAGCATTGGCCTCTGCATCAGCCACAAACAGGTTTATTTATTTCCAGCGTGGTTTTAGAACTGGGAGCAAGCAAGAGTTAATTTTGCACATGGTTTTAGCCCAGTGAGCTCGGAGCCTGGCTTGGAAACCTCTTCAGGGAGATCTTTCAGCTACTGAGGGTTGAAGAGAGATTGGGAGGGAGGAAGTAGTGCGGCTTTAAACACATTGTCATTTCCTAAGTCCTAAAAAATGTAAGCAAATTTATCCTGAAGCCCTTTTATGGAGTCGGTTTTGGACAGTCTGTAAGAGCTCAGATTCTTCTCAGTGGAGAAAGCTGGGAGGACACAGCCATTTTCAGATGTGAATAGTCTGAAGGAGAAGCTGTTTGTAGCATTGTTTTATGGGCCAGTTCCAAGTTGTGTGGATTTTAGGTGTTGCTGGGAGAGATCTACAGTGGAGAAGAAACACAGAAATGGGATGCCAAATTCTCACTCCCGTGCCCTGAAGAGCCAGGGGAGGTGCTGGGGAGCTGCTGGGAGCTCATTTTCTGCTCCTTTGCTGCCCTGGCAGTGCTGTAACTGCAGAAATAACCAAGTGTAACATAGGAAACACCATTTTCTCCTCACGAGGGCACAAGCACGACCCAAGCTTCATGTGAAAAACGGGGATTTGTTCCCAATTGCAGTTCTGTTTGCTGTTTCCCCAAATGGGCTGGCCAAAATGCTGTTTCCAAACCACCTGCTCCATGAGGAGTAAAAGCAGCGTGGGGCTCCTCAGTGGGTCACTGTGCCTCCCCCTGGGCTGTTTGCTGTGCAGATGGTGCTGATCCCAGGAGGGGTGTTCACCATGGGCACCCAGGAGCCCGAGATCCAGCAGGATGGAGAGGGGCCAGCCCGCAGAGTGCACCTGAGCAGCTTCCACATGGACCAGTACGAGGTCAGCAACCAGGACTTCCAGAGCTTTGTCAATGCCACGGGCTACGTCACTGAGGTGAGGCACCAGGGCTCCTCCCAGCTGGAAAATCCCAGCCTTGCCTTGTCACGATGCTTGTGACAAGCATTTTGGCATCCCAAATCTGTTTGGGATTTGCACACTCCAATGTTTCTGAGGGAGGTAGTGGGGAGGAGGAATTGTCTGGCTATGCTGTGGCTGAAAGGACAGTCAGGTGGTGTTGTGATTAATAATTGCCACCTGAACCCACATCTGTCCTGCAGCCTGGGTGATGCCAGCAGGTCTCTACAGGGGTTTTTGGGGTGGTTTGCTTGGGGTTTTTTGATATTTGGGTCCTGGATCTCTTGGTACCAGTACAACCAGGTTAGATTTTCCTTGTCTTAGAGAAATCTGGGGAAGGGATTGAACAAACTGAGATGGCCAAGGATTCTGCAGGCTGGCTCAGCACAGCTCCTTGCTGCTGACAGAGAGCCCTGTGCCTAAGGAGGAGACAAGAGCAACTGCAGTGATAATTGTGTGCCTGTTGCTGGGAACAATGGACTAAGAATATGTTGAGGTTGCTCCCAGAAAGGAGCCACCTGTGCCTGAAGCTCAGCTCCCTCCTGCCAGCTGACTGCTCCTACACAGCTCTGACAAAGCCCTGACAGCCCTTTTAGGCAAATGAAAGCCTGAGCAATGAGCAGGTCTCAGAGGAGGCACTTTGCTGAGTTCACTTGATGAACTGGTTCTCATTTGGAAGGCAGGATCCTCTGGTTGCATGAAGAGCTTCTTTTGTCTGCTATTTCTGTTTCTTAGCTAGATAATTATGAAAAAACGTGGTTTAACTATTTTGAGTTGGAACAAAACTTGCTTGTAGCAAACAGCTGCTGCGATGAGCACATGTGTGGTGGGTTCAGTGTGGAATCACAGAATATCCTCAGCTGGAAGGAGCCACAAGGATCATCAACCCCAGCAATCCCACCCTGTGCTTGAGAGTTATCCAAATGTTCCTGGAGCCCTGGCAGGTAGAGCTGCATCACCTGGGGCCTGTTGCAGGCTCCATGGCTCAGCTGGTGTCACTGACTGCTCCACTTACACCTCCTCCCTCTTTTTTCACTTGGTATAATGCACTGTTACTGGTGGAAATGATTTGTATTTTTTATTCTTTTGGATTGGTATCATGCTAGATATAATGATAGAGTTACATTTAACTCTTTATTGTTGTAGCAGCAATTTAAAACCTGGTACTAGTGATAATGGAGCAGTAAGTGACAAGGCTCAAGTCTTTTATTGTAATTCCAAAAGGAAAAATAAGAGGAATGAAACATGCCCTTTCATATTAGATTGATGACTGTAGCACTTGAAAGCAGTTGGGACAATCAGAACTGCAATTTTAATTAATAAAAGTAAAAACATGTGCAGAAGCTCAGTGAGCTGCCATCTGCCCAGTGGCTGCTGAACAAAAACAACATCCAGAGAAAAAAAAAAATCCCTTATTTTCAGTTCCAAAACAGCTTCCTTGAAAGAGAACTCAAATCCACTATTAGAATTTGTTTGGTTAAAAGTTAGACTTGATGGTCTTAGAGGTTTTTTTCCACCTTAATGGTTCTCTGAATTTTCTTATCCTTGCTAAAACGAAGCTGTAAATGTTGAGTGTGGTGCCAAGAATAGCATTCCTTTGATGACATAATGCATGGATCCTTTGTTCTTTCCACAGGCAGAGAAGTTTGGTGACTCTTTTGTGTTTGAGGGGATGCTGAGTGAAGCAGTGAAGGCTGACATCCACCAAGCAGTGAGTAGCACAGCAGGGGGAAACTCCCTGAGCAATCCCTGGGCTCTTCTGGCAATCACAGCAGGGAAAACTGAACTCTGTGATGTCCTCAAAACCAGGTGCAAAGATGGGAATTATGGAGACTTGTTTGGCCAGGAATCATGGACTGAAGTGGGGAGGATTTGCAATCTGTTCTCTGTCCTTTTTCTTTAAAAAACAATTAAAAACATGGGCAAAAATTGGTATCAACCCCTTGCTACCTGAGTAGTTCAGGCTGAGTCTGTAAGATTCCTTATGCTATGAATGGCTGGAGTTCCTGATGTTTCCTCCTCTCTAGAGGATCCTGTGTTCATTTGCTGCTTTTCCAGCTCCCCTCATCCCCCTGGGCACCACAGTGATCCTGGAAGCAGCACTGCTGACTCCTGGAGCTGATCCAGTTTTGCTGTTGAGTGAAAGTGAATATTGGTTTAAAAAGAAAGTTCTGTAATAAATCTTCCCTGCCCTCCCTTTCCTCCTTTTTTTGTTGTGAATGTGTTGCTGAGCCTTCCTCAGGCTTCATTGACCTCCTTAACAGGTCAGGTCCTCTTTGCAGCTCCTGGCAGATGAGCAGATGTCATCTCCTGGATGAGTTGATCTGCTCTGAGCAGAGGTTTGGACAAAATCCCCTCCTGAGGTCCCTTCCTGTCAGAATTACCCTCAGCTCTGATGGGACACAGTTTGATTCTTGTTTTCAAGGGGCAGCCTGAGACATGTGAGGTTTCAGGAAGCCCTGCGTGAGTGTGTGCTCTGAGGGACTGGCAAAGAACGTGGGATTTGGGTTCCTGCTGCCAGGGGAGGAAGATTACAAGTGCAGTTTGTAATCTTTGCATTCAGGATTGGCAATTGTGCACTGGGAGAGATAAGGCTAAATTGCAGTTCCCACCACTGGCATAACTGATGCTAAATCCATCCGTGGATTTGTTTTGCCTTCATAAAAATAATAAAAATACAAATTAAAAAAAAATGAATGGCTCATCCCATCTTCCCAACAGTCAGTATTGAAGAAATTCCTTTTCCTGTGTAGCTCTTTCCCTAAATCAGTTTCTGTGGTTTAAAACAAACAAACAAACCCCAAGAATGCTGCTATAATCTCAGCCTTGGCAATTTTGTAAACAGAGTGTTGGGAGCCACTTTCCTGAGCATGTCAGCCAAATTTTCAAGTGTTGGCTGCAGTGCTCACAGGACAAATGTTATGCCAGAGGCCTGGGATGGAGCCCAAACTGGTCTTTTTTGGCTGCTGCTTTTTGAAGGTTTTCTGGAGTTGTTAAAAGTAAACTTGCTGTTAAAAGTCACCTTCTTCAATCATAAACAATCAGATGAAAAGCAGAAATAAGATATAAATATTGGTGTGTTACTGGCACTGCAAATCCCTCCAACCAACCAGTGGGAGAAAGGATTGTGGTTTTCGTGTGCCTCAGGGGCTCAGGAGTGTTTTGACAAGGATTTTCCCCAGGTGAAGCACAGGGATGTGAAATACAAATGTGAATATAGGGGAAGAGCAACAGGAATGTACATTTTGAAAGCAATATTTCACATGCTGTGTAATAACTGGGGAAAGGTGAAAGTGGAGGTACCAAATAAAATAATTTATAAATGATGAGCTGGGTGTGTCTTGGGGGTTTTGCTCTGTTTGGCCACTTGGTCTTCTCCAGTTCCTAAAGCAGATTTATCAAAGCCTCAAAGCCACTGGCTGAAGGCAGAGCTGGGGCTGGTGGCAGCTGCTGAGGAGTGACCCAGCTGAGCTCCCAGGGTGATTGTTGGAGCTCTGGGTGTGCCTTTCCTGGAGGTGAGGTGGGCTCCCAGATAGCCCCTGGCAGGAATGTGGGCTGGCTTCAGCCTCTGGAAGGGAAGCAGTAAAAAGGGGTGTAGCAGCCCAGGATGGAATTGTTGCAGATTTCTGGGAACTCAGGTTTTAATTTTGGCCTCCAAGTTTGTGGTGGTCACGTGGCAGAGGGAGGATTTAGTGCTGTGCCAGATGAGGGTGTTGCTGATGGAGCAGGGGAGGGCTCCTTCAAATGGAAAAGGATTTTATAGGGTGAGGGGGAAGGTCCTTTGAAGCTGAAATTATTTCTGTGGGCTTAAAAATTATGAGAGCTTCACATCTTAAAATTTTACATGCAGCCTGGAGACGAGAAAGCTCTGGAGAGACCTTGGAGCCCATTCCAGGGTCTAAAGAGGGTCCAGAAGGGGTGGAAGAGGACTTTGGAAAGGGCCAGGACAAAGGGATTGGTTTCCCACTGCCAGAGGGCAGGGATGGATGGGATATTGGGAAGGAATTGTTCCCTGGCAGGGTGGGCAGCCCTGGCACAGGTGCCCAGAGCAGCTGGGGCTGCCCCTGGATCCCTGGCAGTGCCCAAGGCCAGGCTGGACAGGGCTTGGGGTCACCTGAGACAGTGGGAGGTGTCCCTGCCATGGTAGGGGTGGCACTGGATGGGATTTAAAGTCTCTCCAACCCAAACCATCCCATAATTGTATTTTATTCTGAGGAGATTTGAGAGCTCTTGCCAAGCCCTGCAGAAGTGTCTTTGTTGTGCTGGTACCATGGTAAAGGGAACCAGGGTGGCACAACAGGAGTGCAGCAGCCTCAGGCTTTGCTCACTGCAGAGTAGTGGGGACATTGTTATTCTTGGCTCGTGGAAGGCAAAAAAATTAATTTTTTGCTTCAACACCAGATACATTCTGCACTGAAGAGCCTGAGAGCATACAAATGTGTGTGCTGCCTTTGTCTGTGAGGGTATGGAATTTTGGGTCTGGAATGCAGTGGAATTGGCTCACTGGCAGCTCAAGCAAACACTAAGTTCTGGCCAATCCAGAACTGTGGGATGCTGCATTCATCCCTGTTTGTATGGAAATCTCTGCAGTTTGGAGCTGTGCAATTTGCCTGTTTCACAATAACCTCAAACTGAAACATTCTGCATTTCAGCTGAACATCTGAAGCTGCTGATGAGAGCAACCTGGCTGCAGGTGGGACAGCAGTGCCAGTGTGGGCAGGGTGAGCTGTTCTTGCAGCCCCCAGTGCTTCAGCTGCTCCCTGCAAGGAGCTGGAAGATGGAGCTGTTGATCTGTTCCTCTGTGGGCTTCTGTGCTCTACTCCCACTGCTGGGATAAAGAAGGATGTGCAGAATTCTCCCTGGGAATTGCCAGGAACATCAGCCCGTGGTTATCAGAGCTGCAGTTTAAAGCAGGGCATGGTTTGTGCCTCAGGATAAATCTGTGCACATCCTTTCCTTACAGCTCATGTGCACTTGGTTATTGGAAAAAATGACTACTGGAGTGCAGATTTGAATGTTGGCTGGAAATTAGACTTCCAGAGGTGTCTGCCTTCACCAGGAATATCAGTTCCTCAAAAGAAGCTTCTTCTGATTCCAAAACTTACACTTAATGAATCTGACTGGATTTTAGCATCACGTATTTGTGGTTACTTTTCTTGGAGGGTTGACAGGGCTGTGAAGTTTTACACTGTCTGAACTGAGGTTCAGTGGCCTTTCCTCAGGCAAAGAAAAGGTCCCTTCATAAAAGTGCTTGTTTTCAAGCAAGTCTGAAATATTTTTTGTAGTTGATGACTTGTAAAGTAAAAATCAAATCTGTTTTAAGGCTGCTGCCTTTCCTTGGTGTGCAGTTTCAAGCTGCTGTAAAATACTGGATTTTAAGGCAGATAAATTCAATATTAAACAAACCCCCTTGTTGCTTCCGTTCCTGAGCTCGTGAGGGAGGCCATTAACATTAGAAATTAAGAGTGAGAACAGATTCTTCTGTAATTAGAGCTTTGGGGGAGCTGGGACTTTTAATTGATAGAATAAATAGCATGGGAATTGCAGGAGCTGGCAAAATCAGGGATTCACAGGATCCCAGGCTGGCTGGGCTTGGAAGGAACCTCTGGAGATGCCCTAGTCCAGCCCCTGACACAGGAGTGAGCTGCCTGCTGGACAAATCCTCTGCTAACTGTGAGTTTGGGTTTGTGTGGGGCAGGATTTCCCAGCCCTGGCTCGGTCCTTGTCCATAATTACAGCAGGTTTGTTCTCTGTGGGGACAATGAAGTGGATCCACTGCACAGTAATCATTTTTATTTCTTAAAATTTTCATCTGACTGAAAATGTTCCATTTTCTGTCTGCCTCTTTCTTCAGTAGTTCATTAATCAGTGCTCAAGGTTCGGGATCTGGCTTAGAGGAAGAAGGAACAGTCAGATTTATGTGTATCTGCCTTACATGGATAAAATAAAACCTCATCCAAAAATTATGTTCTTTACTGAATAACAATTTTTTTCTTATGTCCTACCAATGTTAGCAAGATCCTTTTGCATATTAAAGATGTACAGAGCTCAACACCATCTGATTGAAACAAGTGGTAACCTATTAAGTCAGCTTCTGAACTGGAGTGTTTTTTTAAGAACCCACCACTTAATAAATGATTCTTAAAGTGGTTTCCAGACTTGGGCTGCTTTTCACTCAAAATCTCTTTTCACACAGTTAATTCTGAAGTTCTTACTCTGCAGTCACTTTTGGTTTTTTTCCAGCTGTTTATCCTGATCTGCTGTAAGGCTTTTAAAATATTTTATTAAAATAGCATAAGAATGCTGTAGCACAAAAAAAGCTGATGTTTGGTGCTGTATGACTGGACAGCAGCATGAGTTTGGCATCATCTTATGGGCCTGCCTGAAGGTTAAGATCCACAGCTTTGCTATTTCAGGGGACTTGCTACTTGATGGAAATGTAGGAGCATGAGCCAAGATGAGCTACTCTGAGTTTATTTTTAGTAATTTTTCGGGTACATAAATCTGATTAGAATTTGAGGGTTGTTTTTCTTGAACGTGTCACAGGCCACATTAGTGCAAGACTAATAAGTGCTTTTATGGCTATGGGCTGAGTGGCTTTGGGGTGGTTTTTAGGGGTATTCCCCTACTGCAGCAGCAGCAACAGGGTAATGCTGACAATGAAACTCACTTGGTGTTGATCCCCACTTTAATTTTATTTTTCTACATTGATTTAGGAAGGAATTTTCTTCAAGGTAATTGTGAAGTAGTTTAAAAAATCTTGACATTGTGAGGTAATGGAGCAATTAAAGTTAGGCTGGCCCAGGCTGCTTGGAAAGGAGGATGGAATACTTGGGAGGAGAGTTTTCTGTGGGCTGTTGGTGGGAGTTCAGCCTCCAGCTCTGCGAATCGCTCCGCCCCAGCTCAAAGCTCGTGGGCTGGAATTAATTGTTCCAGCTCTTCCCAGTGCTAGCCCACTGGGCTCTCTTTTCACAGTTCCCTGGGTCTGTAAGGAGCAGAGCAGGGAGTTGTTAAGGTTTAATCCTGGAGGGGAGAGCTGGATAATCCCTGTTTCCAGCTGGATCAGACCAAATCAAACCTTTGTGTCTCTGCTTTGCTCTGGGAAGCGCTTCCCTGTGCACGAGGGCGTGAGGATTGCAGGTGTGGGTAACCTGGCACAGGTGACATGCTGCAAGAATTAACCCAAAGGAAGGGGACTGTCCTCTGATTCCAGCTCTATCCAGCAGCATCTGCTGCTATTTGGACAGCAGGAATCTGTTGCCAGTGCACAGAACATGTTTCAGAGGGAAGCAGAACGTGAAGTGTTATGAAAGTAACTAAGCTCATTACTGGCAAGGGAGGACTTGGCTGTATTAACCATGATGTTGTAATATCTCTGTCTAATTATCTCTTCTGCTATTTAGATTTAGAACAATTAAAAGCTTTAAAGACACGTGAGAAGTTCTGGGAGAGAACTGTAGGTTTCAGGTAGGAGATTTCTGGAAGGAGCAGCTCGGGGTGCATTCAGCAGAGCCAGGGGCTACCTTAGATGAGTCTCCAGGTAATTCCTGCAGGCTCTCCATGCTCTCCCCCTGTTATCCCTGTTCCAGCCCTGCATGTGTGACTGCTCTGGGTGCTCTGCAGAGCCTGGCAGCCATTTGGTGCTCAGCTCAGCAGAGCCACAATCGGGAGCTGTGCACACACAGTGCTTTCCTGTGGAGAGACATTTTTCTTGGGTTAAAATAAACCAGCCTGATTGAAAGCATCTGCTTTTTCTTTTGCATCACAAAAATGTTTTCCAAAATTAAAGTCGTCTAAAGTGTAAATCTTTGCAGTCTCCTGCAGAGATGTTTTTATCCAAAACCCAGCAGTTTAATTTACAAAAATATGTTGTGCTTAGAAACTGTCGAAATCTTTCTTGTGATCTTTCAGATTTTAGCTTTAGCAAGTGGTTCTGCTGCTCTTTTATTTTCCTTAAATAGCTGTAAAATGCTAATTTTGGATTTCTGTCCTCTTTTCAGTATAGTTTAAAGGTCAAACCTCAATATGGGCAAGGAATTGGTTAAATGGGACTAGTTTTAAACCTCTTGACTGTTGTACCAGTTTAGCAGCCCTGTCACTCTGAAGCTTTCGTGCTGAGAGTGTTGAGCAGAGTATCTGCAGGGAGGTCTCATTTTGGGGTTTGAATGCTCAGTAACAGAGCTGAGAGAAATCAGATATTTCTCATGCTTTTTGCCAAGGGTGGTGGCTCTGCTTGGAGTGAGAATGTCCTTTGCTAGACACCAAGCCAGAACTGGGGTTGGCATTGTGGTTGTCGTGCTGGGGAGGACAGAGAGGGTCTGTAAAAGCTGTCATTGCCTGGGGGGTCCCAATGAGGAGGACAGAATGTCTGGGTCACCAGCAGGCTGCTGGGAACATCTTTGTTTCTTTGGTGCTTAGGTGTTCCCTTTGGAAGGGAGGGTGTCCACACCGTGTGTGAGCACCTCCCCAGCCTGGAGGAGCCCTGCAGCCTCCTCAGGCATTTCACAGCCCTTCCCCAGGGCTCCCAAAAGCTCTGGGCTCTGCAGCTTTAGTCCAGGATTGCTGCTGATTTCCAGGGTGCTTTTCAATACCCAGATGTGCTGTAGGCAAAATCTGTGTGTGCTGAGAGGGGAGGAGGGAAGTGCTGTCAGGGAGTGTCAGAGCACGGCCTGATGAGGGGCTCTAAACCCAGGACAATGTGTTTGGGCACTGGTTATTGAAATATCCTAGTCAGGGATTTGATGTATAACTTGGACCAGAGTTCTCTTGACAATTTCTGTGTGACATAGATCATCTTTTCTCCCACACACGTGTAATTACATGTTCTGTTGAAGGATGCAGCTTCCCCCTAAAAGCTGCTGTTAAAATTATTTGACCAGACTGATTCTGGTTCTCAACACCAGCTTGCAGTGACTTTTTGGACTTTGCTTTGGAGCTTTGGTGTTAAAGGTAACACTCTTGGCACCTTTCCTACCTCTGTAGATAACGCTTGACAAAGTCACTCTAGGACTAACCAGCCTCTGGGTTTTTTGCCACCTAAAGCATTCCAGGCTCATTTCCTCTGACTTTTGTTCTTTTTAGACATTATCTCTCTATTAGGAGTATTTTGGAAGCTGTTGGAATAAACCCACTGTTGATGGGTGGCATAAATGTTCCTTTCTTTTCCTCAGTGAAGGCCCCATTATTAAAATAAGTATTTCTAAGTGAATATGAATCAGAGCAGTTAAGCATTGCTTTGAAGCACGCCTCATAGAAGAAATGCTTCAAGAATGTCTTCCAGGAAAAACTTCTTGGCATTGAAGCACCAAATTTGGGACTTCCTGGTTTGAGAGAACTACTCAGTGTCTGCATTGCTGCAGATGATTTTGGCTCTGTGATGTTTCCCAGCAAACCAGCTGGGGGACAAAAAAAAAGAGAGAGGCTTCATGCTTCACTTCCCTTGTGTGGTTCTTCTGTCTCCACCTTCTGGAAGCTGAGAGCAAATAATTTAAAATCAGCTGAGTGGGTTAATGACGTAGAAAGCAAATGTGTTGCAAGATGAGTGTTTGACCCCCAGCTAAAGGGCATCATCAGGGGGTTATTTCAGTGATGTCAAAACACTGAGTCCAGGGAGTAAATCATTAGGGTGAAAATGCTCTTTAGGCCAAAATGGTATTTTTTTTTTTCCTTGCTGCAGCTTGTATCAGACTGAAGTCAGCCAGGAGGTGGAATTCATACAGGCACAGACTGGTTTGGGTTGGAAGGGATCTGGTGGCTTTTCAGAAATTCCCTTAACTGGAATTGAAGTGTCCTTCCTTGCTGCTCTTGTCCTTTTTCAGGTGGCAGCTGCTCCCTGGTGGTTGCCTGTGAAAGGAGCCAGCTGGAGGCACCCTGAGGGCCCCGGCTCCAGCATCTCCAGCAGGTGAGCCATGAGAGCCATTCCATCATAAAACCCAGGGAATATCCCTGGGCATCCCACCAGGAATGGGGCTGCAGGAAAGGGCTTTGATTTAGTCACCTCTTTGGAGAGGAGGAATCAATCCTCACTGGGTGCACGCTCCAGGAGTCTGGGTAGTGTGAATTCTTCCACGTGGGATTTGGAAGTCTCTTTCTCTGGCAAGAGAAAACTGAGGAGTTTTGTGCATTTTTACTGTATTCTGTGAAAAATCAGTTGTGACTATCTAGAAGCTCTGAATGCTTTGAAAACTCTGCTTTTTCTTACAGTTAGTGCTACGCTTTGCCTGCACAAACCCTGAAACTTGCTGATCCTTGTCTTCATACAATTGCTTTCATTCTGAGGAGGGATGAATTTTTGGCCTAGAAAATCAAATTGCTGTCTTCATTTGGGACCTCTAACATTGCAACTGCCCCTCTGACTAGGCAGGTGTCAATGAAGTTGTCACTTTATCAGCTAGTGAAAGTTTCTAACAGCATGTTGAAATCAAATCAGACTCTCTAGCCTAGATCTAGTAGGTTTTTGAGTCCTCTAAGGACAGGACTTTGTTAGTGCACCATCATCTGATGGCTGAAGTGCTCAGTAACGAGTTATCTGCTCTCCAAGGGCAAGGAAAGAATTATCTGAGGCAAAAATAGAGATAATAGCTGGAGGCATTGTTAGGGGGAGCCAGGAATTGAGGTCAGAGCCAGCAGACAGGAGCTGGAAACCTGCCATGAAATTCTGGGCTGGTGCAAACCTGGCCTGGCACAGCTGCTGGGAAGCTGCCACGGGGAAGTGGCCCCATGGGTTAACAGGGAAACGTTGGGTTCTTAAATGGGGCAGGGAAGAGGAGTTATAGGAAGTTTCTCCCTCTCCTGAACCCTCAGCTCTGGGATCATCTTGGTCTATTGGAGGCTTGGATAGGGAGGATCCTTCTGCAAGAATGCCTGGGCATTTTTATCTTTTTCTGGAAGAAGAAACAAGGATTTTAATGTCAGTTATGGAACCAAACCCCATTAAAGACAGGAGCTCTTGTAAACTGTGGACTGCTTAAAGCACCTGGGGAAAATCACTTCCCAGCTAAATTTCTGCAGTTCATTTTCCTGGACAGGGTGCTGCAAAAGCTGGTAGAGTTGGTAAGACTCTTCCTCATGTCAGCTCTCCCTCTCTGACAGCAAGGACAGGACCGAGCAGGAGAGGGGCCTCAGGGGAGGGAAGAACAGTCACCACTAATTGGCAGTGTGCAGTTCCTGTTGAGAATCCTGCCTTCTGGCTGAGATGGCCCTCGCCAGGCTGGGTTGATGCCAGATGGCCTGTGCCAGGCTGGGTTGGCAGTGGTGATGCTGCAGGTGCTCAGCTTTCCTTTGGCTCTGCAAGCACCCAAATTCCCCCAGGGCAGGGTGTGGGCAGTTCTCTGCTGCCTCCTGGGTACTGCACTTGAGAAACCACAAACCAGAAATAACTGGAGAGCTGGAGGTGGCAGCAACACGAGACAAACCGAAGCTAATTGTTTTCTCCTCCTGTTTCCCTCTGATGGCTGCATTTCCCTTCCAGCATTTTGCTGCCTTTCCTTAAGTAAATTCTTTCCTGTGAAGTCACCTGGTGCAGCTGTAACTCCTGTGTGCCCCTGTCAGGGTGTCACATCGTGCTGTGCAGCCCTGGGGCTGCCTGGTGCCCTGAGGAGCCTGTGCTGTTGATTTTGTTCCCAGAATGGACCATCCAGTCCTTCATGTTTCCTGGAATGATGCCATGGCCTTCTGCACGTGGGCAGGGAAGAGGTTGCCCACGGAGGCTGAGTGGGAGTACAGCTGCCGAGGGGGGCTGGAGAACAGGTACCTGACCCAGGGGAGTCCCTGATGGGGCTGGGAACACAGAGAGGGTTGGGAGGGATTTGTTACCCTCAGAACTGCTCTGCAGCCAGGCTGGGGGAGCTGGAGGGGCTCACCTGGAGAGGAGAAGCTCCAGGAAAAGCTCAGAGCCCCTGCTAGGGCCTGAAGGGGCTCCAGGAGAGCTGGAGAGGGACTGGGGACAAGGGGTGGAATGACAGGACACAGGGAATGGTTTAAACATAAGGAGGGGAGGTTGAGATGGAGTATTAGGAAAAAGGTATTTATTGCAAGGGTGGCAGCCCTGGCACAGGGTGCCCAGAGCAGCTGGGGCTGCCCCTGGATCCCTGGCAGTGCCCAAGAGCAGGTTGGACACTGGGGCTGGAGCAGCCTGGGATGGTGGGAGGTGTCCTGCCATGGCAGGGCTGGCACTGGATGGGATTTAAGATCTCTCCCAACCCAAACTATTCTGGGGTTCTGTATAACTGACTTTTAATTAACAATGTTTGACAGATGCTCTGTTTGTCTTTCCTCAGGCTTTTCCCATGGGGAAACAAATTGCAGCCCAAAGGGCAACACTATGCCAATATCTGGCAGGGAGAATTCCCCACCAACAACACAGCAGAGGATGGGTACAAGGGGACTGCACCTGTAAGTGTGGCTCAAAGACAATCCAGCATGTGGAAATGATCTTAATCTTCAAATTCAGGTCTGTCTTCAGGAGGATGAGCAATGGCTGTTTTCCATCTCTGTACTCTTTCATTTTAGATTTTAAGTTGCATTAAATTTCACTGCAGGCTTGAGCATTATCAAGGGACTCTTTTACGAGCTAATTGAAAAGTAAAGATTACTTTCATTTTAACTTCTTAGTTTCTCTCAAGCTGACCTCTTTTCCCCCTTCCCAGTCAGTTTGTAGTCAGAAGCTGAAGTATTTTCTGCCTGCACTTCTGACCTCACAGTTTTGTGAACTCAAAAATCACAATAATTTAAAAGAAATTAAACTTCCCTTTTGGGGAAAGGCTGAGTCTGTCTAGTATAACAACCAGAATGGAGTTTTAAAGGCAGTCAGGAATGTGAATGAATTATTTATTGGTAGCTAAGTAAATCCAAAAGTTTCATCAGAAGAGGAGTCTGCACAGGCAGGAGCTGGCAGCCACCCTGGCTTTTCCTTGTGGGAGGGGAATCTGGGAGCTGTGAGTGGGGTCAAGTCCCTAATGCCAGGTGTGTCTGCTGGTCAAACAGTGCCAAACAGTCTCCAAAACCAGCCAGGAATGCTGTGCCACACTGTAACCAGGCTGCTGAGTGAGGACACAGAGGTGACACAGCCTTCCCTGCTGTTTGATTTACATGCAGGATGCAGAAGTGTCCCAGGGCTGCACTGCTGATCTGGTGCTGCTTTTGGGGCTGCTCAGAGTGCACCTTGAGCAGGCAGGTGTGAGGGTTCCAAGCCTGTTGGTGTGGTTTCAGAGCTGTGTTCCCTGTCCCGTGCAGGTCTCTGCCTTTCCCCCCAATGCTTACGGCCTCTACAACATGGTGGGGAATGCCTGGGAGTGGACGTCGGACTGGTGGGCTGTGCACCACTCCCCCCTGGAGCTTCACAACCCTGTGAGTGTTTGCCTGGCACCATGGGCAGAATCCCCTCTGTCACCAGGGTCTCCTTTGTGCTGGAAAACCTCCTGCTCTGTGCCTCTGATTCGGGAGCATCACGGCACAGCTCATCCACTCTGGAATTGCAGTGCTCTGGTGCAGTTTTTGTGTTTGGGTAGTTATCCACACATGGTTAGCCATTGAATACTTCCAAACTGGCCTCATATTACAGAAATCAAGAATTTGTGGAATGACTTTGTTACAAAAAGGAAGGTTTTTAGTTCATTTATGTTGTTACAAGCTGTGCTTATTTTCCCCATCCCAGGCAGAGAACAAACCATTATTAATTATCTTTCTGGCTTCTGCTGGCTTGTTTTAAACTGACCATATGATAAAACTGAGTTTTAGGAGAAGTCACCAGGCTCTGAGAGGTGAATATTTGTTTTCCTTTGTGGCAGGCAGATGGAGGTTCCTGCAGAGTGAGATGTGAGGGGTCACTGATGCTCTGTCTCAGCAGATTCCAGTTCCAGTGTTAGATCTGCTCCACTCCCGCTTATCCAGGATGAGTCAATCCCATGATTTATGAATACAAGTAAGGCCAGGTAGAGTTTGTCACTCAAACCCCCACCAAATACAGTGGTTTTTATTTGCTAACAATTTAAAAAGCACTTTCAGGTTTATTTTTACTCCTGGTAATTACTTGTGAAGGCAAGACAATCAATTATGGAACTCCCCCAACAATCTGTGTGCAGAATTCCATCCATTCCTTGTAAGCAATCCCCAGCATAGCCCAGATCTCTTCAGTGCTAGAAAGTTGCTTTGAAGATTTTGGGTGTTAAACTAAATATGTTAAAAAACTTAACATATTCTTCCTGACCCTCTGGAAGAATTCAGTCTTTTCAGCCCAGAGAACACAGCCTATATTTAGGTTACACTGCCTTGTGCTCTGCAGAGACTGAAGAGCTGGGCTCTGATAGATCTGGTGCTAATCAGTTCTAATGTCTCAGAAGATAACTGCAGCCTGGCTATTTTGGGACACCTTTTCACAGGAGGAGATGCAGTTTCCTTACCCATTTAACCAGAAAAACCCTTTGGAATTCACTTTGAAGTGCTCTGCCTCCATACTGAATTCTGACAATCAGTTTGCATATGAAAAAACCCTAAAAGCGTAATTGTTAACACCTAGTTAAATACTTCCTGAAGTGTCTGGGCTTAAAACTTCAGCAAACTCTTGGAGTTGGAGAGAGCAAAATTGACAGGATAGTTGTTCCCCACCATCACCTTAATCCAGCAGGGAAGTGATCCAGCCTTGGCATCATCAACCCCAGAATGTCTCAAATAAATAATTACAATGAAGGTGCCTCACTGCAGTGACAGAATCCCGGAATGGTTTGGATTAAATCCCACCCAGTGCCAGCCCTGCCATGGCAGGGACACCTCCCACTGTCCCAGCTGCTCCAGCCCCAGTGTCCAGCCTGGCCCTGGGCTCTGCCAGGATCCAGGGGCAGCCCCAGCTGCTCTGGGCACCTGTGCCAGGGCCTGCCCACCCTCCCAGGGAACAATTTCCTCCCTAAAAATGTGACTGATCCTTTAGCAGAGAGAGCCAAGTGTGTGTGTGAGGTCGATCAACCCACAGGCCCTTTAGGGGTTATTTTGTGGTGACTTCTCTGTTTTTTTTTTTTTTTTAATGAGCTGCAGTTCTCTGTTTGAAAACTGATTTCTCTCAAAACAGAGTAACCATGTGGCTCTGCACTGGAAATCACCATGCACCATCAGAAAGCATTTGTTTGATGTCGTGAAAGAAATACAACTTTATTTTCATTAACAAAACAAAGCTTCTGGGTTTTTTTTTAGCAACTTTTAAAGGAACAATCCTACTTTTATGAGCTTTGGCAATGGAATGTACAAGCACTTATGTAACAGACTGGAATATGGCTGTTGCAGTATTCTAGTACAGAATAACCTCGTTAATTTACAGTAAACTCTGGGGTTTAAATCTGGGATCAAGGTCTGGACAGCTCTGGCCCTTTGCACCAATGTCCTTCCCCGTCAGTACCAGCTGGTGCACTTCTCCAGGTCAGGCCATAAAACAATGGTGCTGATAGAACAGAGATTTGCTTGTTTTAATCAAATGTGACCTTAATTGCTGGGCTGTGATTAGCTTTTATGAAGGGAAACACAGCCAAGGCAGTTTCCCTCATCTAAAAGTGAGATATGTGCACAAGCAAATATTAACACTGCAAATGCTGCTAATGTCTATTGGTTTTGTGATTTTTCTGACATCTTTGCCAATTGTTTTATGATAAACTCTTTACCTTCACTGATTTTAAATAGGAGAAAGATGTTTTATTATTGAACAGATTTATGGAGGACACTACAGCAGAATTCTCCAAGTGGTGAAGTGTTTTGGGGCTGTAATCCTCTGTCAGAGGCTGTGGGGGTCAATTCAAGTTGTTTTTTTTTGTTACCAAATAACCTTTGATGCTTGGTTTTTGCCTGGTGGAAGATCTTTGTAGTTAATAAAAAGGTGCACTTATGAGCCTTTGGTTCACACACTGCTCAGTACAGGTCAGCCCTTTGTAATTGCTGATCCATGACAGATTTAGGGCTTTCTAATCCTAACCAAAAATGTTCCTCTTCGTTTATAAAAGTGTCTTTGGAGCCAGTTGCACAGATTGCTGCTCAGCCCTGCAGCATCTAGGGGAAATCCTGCTCCACAGCCCCATTGTTCTGCTTTGTCTTGTTCCCGTGGAACTTTTTTTAGGTCGGTTTTCTCCTGGCTTCCTTTAAAATGAGATTACCAGGCTGGGTGATGACTGTGCTGGTTGGAGGCTTATCTCAGAGCAGGGACTGTGCAGGTGTTGTGAGGACAATCTCCAGGGGCCTCGCAGAGGGAGCAGGGCTGTGCTGTGGAGGAGCACCCAGGCTTCAAAAGAGCAGATGCTGCCTCAGGGTGTGGCTTTCCTAGGGTATTTGTGTGCCATTAAATGCCAAATTCTTTTTCACACATATAAATTTCGGCAATAAACACGAAGCTGCTGCAATTTTTGTGGTGAACTTCCACACACAAAGCTCTCAAAGTCAGGGAGTGCAGGCAGGAGCTTCTAGAGTGCCAACATCGACTCTCAAGGTTTTCTGACAGCCCCTGGGATTTATGTTCAGTTACAAATGCTCTTCTGGGGTAGATTCTTCTAGAACATCACCCTGGTAATGCAGAGCTGGGTGGGAGACCAGTGTACCCCTTGAGAAGGGTAGGGGGGTGGGATCTGTGCCAGGTGTGACCAGACTGGTCACAGGGTGGTCACTGAGGAAAGCTGGAGCTCATTTCCTTCCTGGTAAAATCCTCTTTAGGAACCTCCCTGTAACCAGGCATTATCAGTGGGCAGCACCTGGGATGTTAAATATTTGCAGCAGTGGGGAGGGAGCACAGTTACTGTCACCTGCAAATCCTGTAGGGCAGAATTATTTCAAGCTGTCTGGTTCAGACACCGCTGACATCTGTGTCTGGAATATTTATGATTGCTCCTTCTCCATCCCCTTACTCCCTGAAATTAGCAGTTACTCCCTGAGTACTGACCAGTGTCCTCCTCTCCCCAGAAAGGGCCGTCCTCGGGCACGGACAGAGTGAAGAAGGGTGGATCCTACATGTGCCATAAGGTACTGTGCTCTTCTCATGCTTCTCTTCCCTCTGAAAGCACTTGACCATGATCCTCTGACAGAGTTTCCTGCAGCCTGTCAAGGGCTTTCATGGGATTTATGGAGAGCAACACCTGATGTTCCTAAGGACCTCTTTTTGCTTAGCTTGGAATTAAAACAAGTAAGTTTTTGTAATCAGTATGGGTTTTAGGTGCAGAACTTAAAATTGATACAGGCTTCTAATGGTGTTTCATGATAGAGCTTGAGTGATACTTGTCAGAGTAGAAAGTATGGATGTGACTTTGTTTTTTAAGAATGGCTTTTGATCCAGAAAGGATATGGAGCTCTGAGTAATCTGGCCTAGGGAAAGGTGTTCCTGCCCAGCACAGGGAGTTGGGACTGGATAAGCTTTAAGGGCCCTTCAGTCCCAAATCCTTTCTAATTCCATGGTTCAATGATATCAGGTGTTTGCAGAGCTGGCTGGGAGATGAAGTGTTTCAGCTGAGTTGGTGGCATACCTGAAAATCCTTCAGAACCGCCAGCATGTCACCACAGAGTGATGGCTTTCATGACACAAAATGGTGTTTTAAACTCTGCTCATGCAGTGCTGAAAAGCCCTCATTGTACATCTCCTCTTTCATTAAAGCTGTCCTGTTCTTCCCTTGCAAAGCCTGTGGCTGGCAAATCACTCTCATAATTAGATTAAATTTTCTACAGCGAGATCCCATTTTCTACACTGATTTCCTTCTTAGGTGAAATCAATGTCAGATGTTAATTAGCAGTTTTGATTAAATTAACACTGGAATAGGCTCTTCAGTGATGAATGACCCGTTTTGAAGGTTTGTGAAGATTCTAGTCTGCCCTAGTCTTTTTTTGTAGGTGATAAAACTAGGCTGTGTATCAAGACAAAATCAGTGACTACTGTTAGTACAAGGGCTCTTTATTAAGGTGCCTGATGTCTGCTCAGAGTGATCTTTGTGTGCTGGTGCTCTTCTCCCTCTCAGAGCTGACAGAGCCTGAAGTTGCACCTTTTTACATCCCATCCCAAAAGTGGCACCTCATTCAGGGAAATGTTTCCAGGCAGGTGCTGGTACCTGTCCATTCCAGTAGGGCATTAGCATGTGGATACACAGCTCAGCCTCTGAGGGGAGGCTGAATGGTTGTTTTGGCTTTTTCCCAGAGCAGGAGAGATTCTTGGCTGACACTTTATCAGACACTTTGCCATTCAGACTAGTTTTTGTGTCAGCTGGTGTCTGTGTAGGATTCCCTCATTTCTAACACAGCGCTTTCCATCCGTAGCACTTCATCGATTTGTCCCACAGCGATGGCAACGTTTTGCTGTATTAATCTAACTAATTAATCTGTTAATCTAACAAGCTGTTGCCTGAGGAGCCCCAGCTGTGCTAAGAAGTTCCTCTTCTGTGTTGCTGTGCAGTCCTACTGCTACAGGTACCGCTGTGCAGCTCGGAGCCAGAACACCCCCGACAGCTCCGCGTCCAACCTGGGCTTCCGCTGCGCCGCCGACAGCGCCCCGGGGCCCCGCTGACCACACTGCCCACACTGCCAGGGCCTTCCTCGGGCACAGGAGGGCTGCATCCCACCCCAGGGAGAACAGACACCAGCAGTGGCCCTTGCTGGTGACACACAGTGGAAAAATCTTGCTTCAAGTTGCTGCTGAGGGAAGAAAAACCAGCGTGACTCAACAGCGCTTTTGGAGAGCCTTTGTGTTCACGAGCAATCTGGCCTGGATTTAAAGCCTGACCAGGGTGTTTTGGATTCAACTGGAACAAAACTGAGCAGAAACATGCCAATCATGTTTTCAAAGATTACTTAATCCCAGAATTAGGCTGGGAAAAAACCTCCAGAGTTACTGAGCTTAACCCTTAACTGATCACTACCTTGTGAATTACAACTCCTCTTTAGACAAGATCTTTATTAATTACTTTTATTTATGTAGAGCTTCTACATTCAAATGCAATAATCAAAGACTTTATAAGACAGCTTTAAAAGAAATTCTAGGCAGTTAGGAAATTCTAGGCTGCTTTGAGAGACAATGGAGTCAGGAATGAGGGCTGGGAGATAGCAGCTCTCCCCACAGGCAGCTTGCCTTTTGTTACATTCCACTTGCAGTGAAAATCATGTCCAGAAATGGGCTTCTCCTGGGCAGATATTTGCTGCTCTTTGGGAAGTGCCTTCAGCAGCTGAGGGTGATAATCCTCAGGGTGATGATGATTAGAAATCTTGTACATATTTTAATAAAATATCAAGCATTTGTTTATGCAAAATACTTTTATTGATGGAAAAACAGAATTTCCTTTGAATTTCTTGGATGCAGTGTAGGCTTATTGTAGGGACTTGGAAAATACAATACTGGCCTCATAAGAAACTGAAGCTAATGAATGATTCCACTTGAGTAAAAGTCATGGAAGTGATGGTAGATGGAACTGTGAACCCTAAGACCCAACAGGGTAAATTTCTAAACTGTTCTGTTGAAAGTAAGATTCCTCACTGAAAAGGAGAGAAATTTTAACAAGTGAGAAGGGAAATAGGAACAATTGAAAGCAACCTCATTTTGGGATCTGCATGTAACGGTGGATTCACAAAAGCCTTGGCACTGATGCTGGTCCTTGCCAGTGCTGTCTGTGCTGTAGATAATTTGGGTTTGAGTTTAATGCAAATCCATCACGTGGCAGCTCCTGCAGTGCTTTCATGTTGAAAAGGTGACACAGGAGAACGCCTGGGCAGGCCTTCAGCAAACACCAGCCTCCAGTGGGGTCCAGGTAAGCCCAGCAAGCAGAAAAATCTATCCCAGGACACAGCATGACGTGGCACAATATTGAGATATTGATAATCATTATTGCACTCGGAGCAGAAGAGAGGAGGGAGGATGAAAAGGAGCTCAGAGCCTTTTGAGCTGTTTGAGTGGATTAATTCTGGAAGAGCACACTGAGCTGTGAGGGGCAGACTGGGGCTCCGAAGCTGAAAGGAGTTAGAAGGAGAAGGTGAACAGAACTTCAGCAGATACAATAGTCCATTCCCTATTTTCTTAACTAGGAAAAAAATAGGGGATTTTTTTTTTTCAGTAGGATTTTGGTCCACTCCCCCAGGCAGCTGCAGTGCCAAGGCATGGTGGAGTATAGTGCTGTATGGAAAAAGGCCACTAATAACTGTCAGGATGGTTTAGAACTCCATTAACAATTATTTTGTTTATACAAGGCCGTCAGTGTGGCTGTTTTGAGCGGTCCAACACTGTTGCTCTGTTCTGAGCTGGGGAATTTGCTCTGAGCAGATAACTGGGATCAGGTCACTCCCAGGAGCTGCAGCACTGGCCTGGATTGAGGCTTGGGTTGCAGGGACAGAGGGCTCAGCTGTGCTCCTGCTGTAGGGCTGTGATCAAGGACCAGATACTGTGAAAGGTGGCTGGGTTTTTTTAAATTTGCACTTCCTTAACTACTCAAAATCATGCCAAGTTTATACTCATAACAGGAAGGTAACAAACCGTGCTGAAAATGAGGAGTGCAGATGCTGTAACACTCATCTGGAAATTTTTCTAAGGAGGGAAAGAGGAAGTGGATTGGATAATCTGCTCCCAGCCCCGTGGTCTGAAAGTGGCTGGTGTGATGCATTTTCAGGGAGAAAACCAGATAAAACTCCTTTCTACCCAAGAGACCTTGCAGTCCAGGCTGTGCTCTGGAATTCTGTGCATTCCAAGGTACAGGATCCTGGGAGTTTCCTTCCTGTAACAGCAGGAACCTGAAGAGACAAGGACTGAAGTTAATGTCCACTCAGCCTGGAAACTACTTCTGACAAGCAGCTGAAATCCTTTGGAAGGTTTCTGCACTGAAATGACATTTAATGATTAACCCAAAGAGAAATCACATGGAAATGTTTATCTTAACATAAACCCACAGCTGTGTCTAAACCCCAACAGCAGCAGGAAGGCACTTTAATGGGAGAGGTTAACACTGCTTGGTATCAAGGAAGCAAACATAAACACCAAGTATGATTTTGTTTAGTAAATAGCTAAATGTCCTTTATCCCTGGTCAGTATCAGGTTAATCAGAGTGGTTTGGGTTGGAAGGGACCTTAAAAAGCTCATCTAGTTCCAACCCTTCTCCCCAGAGCTGGGGACCTTCATTCAAAGCTGCATCCTTGAATATTCTGATTATATTTCAGTAGGAAACTAAATCTCCCAATGAATATTGAAATATTGGTAATCATTACTGTGCTTTGAGAGTGGACAGGATTATAAAGAGCTCCCAGTTTTTAGCTGTTTGCCTGGATTCCTTGTGAAAGTGCACACTCAGTTGGGAGTGACAGCTCAGTCCTTCAGTGGCACCAATCTTTCAGGTTCAAATCAAAGTTGTCTGTAATTTAAAAATGAAGTTACTGATCACCTGCAGAACAGCTGATCCCCATGAGATGTACTCCCTTGTGTGCGTTACATCAAAGGGTATGGAAACAGGAAAAGATCCAACTGTCCAGAGCAAATAATTGATGGTTTGTGCTGCTGATGGTACAGTGTGACATGGATAAAAAAACTGAATTGCAGTTTATCCATCTTAAATATCAAAACCAGCCTATGTGAAGCTACCTTAACTTGATCTTTGCAGAAAGGAAGTGAAGGAACGTGCAGTTACAGAATGTGCTCATGTGGCAGTGCATCCCTGGGGGAAGGAGGTGCTCAGCAAAGCCCTGCACAGCTGTTAGAGCCAGACAGGGATGATGCAGAGAAGATGGAATGACCTTCTCCCTGTGCTGGGAAAGGCCAGGCCTTGCTTAACGCTGCCTGGCCCTGGAGTAGTGAAAACATGCATCAGTTAGCAGCTGAAAGGACCCTCGTGCATCTGTCAGCTGTTCAGCACACAACACAAATCTTGTCATTCGGATGCACTTCTGTATTTCTACTTTCAGCAGGCTGTCAGCATCATCCTGCTGCAGGGGCTGCATTTGCTTCCTGAGCATGTACTGAGTGCTGGGCAGTAACAGATGTGCTGCTTGTTGTGATTGCAGAGCTCTGATGAGAGCGGCCTCGAGGCTGAGGTGATTAAAAAAGATGGGATGTTGTAATCGTCAGAGACTGCTGTTCTGCACCACTTCAGCAAAGCTAAATGGGAGTGAAGGAGCCAGTCAGTCACAGCTGCTTTGGGCATGCAGCTATATGGGACACACCAAGTATTAAAGCTACTCTCCTTTTACATCAATAATTAGTAGCTACTATGATTTGTGGAACAAAACAAAATTACAGCAAGTAATTTAAAAACAAGAATTTAATGGATTTTAAGAATCTAATGCCTTTCTTGCAAGAGTCATGGTTCATGGTGTTATCAGTGACTTTCCTTGCTGTTATCATGTCCTGTCCATGTACAAGTGCCAAAGGTACCAATTCTTTCTGAAGAGACTGAGAGAGCTGCTTTAACATACAGCAAGCTCTCAAAGGAAAACCAGGCAAAAACACCAGGCCTGGCTTAGTCACCGATTTTGCAAGATTGGAACATCTTGAATCTCCAATAATCCCTTGTACTATCCACCTTAAAAAGGTTTTTCCATGATATTAGTTCTCGAAACCATGTCTCTGTGCTGCTCCTCAGAGCCACATGTGCTTTCTTGTTGGAACAGAATGAGTTTAACTGCTAGGGAAATCAGTATTTTTAGGTGTGTTTAAGGCTGAAAGTCTGTGGAGAACTGGCTGGTGTGGAAAAAAGGGAGCTGTCCCAAGGTAAGAAGGAGGCACACGTGCGGGAACCACAGTAGCAAGGTTTCCTCAGGCTGTTCTCTTCCTCCAGAGGTTTGTGTTCTCTGCTGGCTTCTGGTGAATTATGGAATCTTCCAGAGTAATCATATGAAAGCTCCTCTCCAGCAGAAATATCAACAGCTGCAAAAAGTGCCAGCTTGGGCACCATGGAGTCAACTCTCACCGGCACCATGAAGAGGTTGGGTTCGCAGGAGTGGTTCAGGAACCTGCCCACGTTCCCGACGCGGGTGGGATCCACGAAGGTCTCCATGACCCGCCCGTCGTGCAGGTGCTCCCTCACTGCTATGATGTAGTTTGGCTCCTGTGGGCTCTGGGCCTGGATTCTCCTCTGGGCCTCAGCAAAGCCCAGCACCTCCCCGGCGTACTCGCAGACGAAGCTGCCGGCGGGGATGGGCTCCAGCGCGCGCACGCCCCAGCCCTTCCTCTGCGTGCGGAACACCTGCAGCCGCAGCCGCAGCCCCCGCTGCACCAGCCTGTTCTGGCAGCCCTCCCCACAGCAGCACAGGCTGTTGCACTCGAACACGGGCCTGGAGAAGGGCTGCTGCTGCTGCTCCGCCAGCCTGAGGCGCAGGCTGCTGTAGCTGTGCCCGCGGCTCAGGCACGGGCAGGCGGGAGCCTCGCAGGAGCTGCTGCGGCAGGAGCAGCCCGGGAAGGTGACTGCAGTGGGGTCGAGCTCTCCGTCTGCTCCGGCCACACTGTCGGGGCTGTACTGCAGAGAGAACAGCAGTCAGAGCCTGCTTGAAACCAGAATGGCAAAAAAGTTTGTCTGTAAATGGCTGATCCCAGAACCAAAATCACGAATGCTTTGCTTTTCTGTAAACTTCCAACTCAAACCTGTCTGAAATGTTTAAAAGAATACAAATCGAATATTCCATATAGACAAGAAACCAGAATGGTAAAAAAGTTTGTCTGTAAATGGCTGATCCCAGAACCAAAATCACGAATGCTTTGCTTTTCTGTAAACTTCCAACTCAAACCTGTCTGAAATGTTTAAAAGAATACAAATCAGATATTCCATACAGACCAGAAATCAGAATGTTAAAAAAGTTTTGTGCCTGTAAATGGCTGATCCCAAAACCAAAATCATGAACGCTTTGCTTCTCTGTAAACTTCTGACTCAAACTTTTCTGAAATGTTTAAAAGAATACAAATCAGATATTCTATACAGACCCAACTGATAGTCTCATTAGTGCCTGAATTTCTCAAAATAGCCCGCTGGCCACAAAAAATACTTAGCAGAAGAAAAATCAGCTCATTAGACTCTATGTACCACTTTCATTTATAGTGATACTAAAGATATTTATTTATGGATGTATTTGGAGAATTATCAGGGTATTGTTTAAGTAATTCTCCCCACACTTCAAAATGCTCAATAAGTGGCTTCTAAGGTTAATCTATAGATCTTCAAGCCACAGAATTTCAAATACACAATTATGTCAAAAATGAAGATACTCAATGCATCTCTCCAACTTGTTGTATTCACACTTCCTCCTAATTCTGGTAGAAAATCATATCCTCAAAATTACACTGATGCCCCCAGCAGGTGAATGGTTATAGAACCATGGAGTGCTGCAAAACAAAACCTGATAGAAACTGCTACATTTGGAAACCAAGGTATAAGAACAGCGACGGGTGTATTTCCACTCCCTTCTCAGCATTCAGCTTTATTTAGAAGCCTGGAGGATGTGCCATCACTAAATATTACATTTCACAGTAGCTTGTACCCGGCAGTTCAGGGTGTTGCGAAACATGACAGTGAATTTGCAAGTTTCTTTTTTTAATAAGCATCAGCTTCTCAGTCACTCGTCTTTACTCAAAACCAAGTTTGCTGTTCCTCAACCACCATTTCGGTAAAATACGAGCACACCACACAATTCAGGGAGATTTGGGTCTACAGGGCTCACAGCTTAATTTTTCCTCAAGGCTTATTAGAAGCTTCTCCAGTGTGGTTTGTATAGACTCTCTAATACCACTGAAGCAAATTCCTGGGTGTCCTGGAGTGACAGGACAAGCAGGAACAGATACAAACTAAAAGACAGCAGATTTAGCTTAGATATTTGGGGTAAATCCTTCCCTGTGAGGATGGGGAGGCCCTGGCCTGGAGAAGCAGCAGCTGCGGTGTCCCTGCAGAGGAAGGTATCCCTGTAGATGGTGTCCCTGCAATGAAGGGTGTCCCTGCAGAGGAGGTGTCCCTGCAATGAAGGGTGTCCCTGCAGATGAAGGTGTCCCTGCAGAGGA